CATTTCCCTACACACGGGGTGCTCCCCTCGCAGGGCACCGCCGCGTTCTTCACAACATGCGATGTTCCTGCTGCCAGTGAGTAAAATGTCAAACCTGCAGATGAGCATCACCTCACGGATCCATGAAGCCACCCAGAGAGAGAGAGAAGAGAGGGGGGAATCTTGGGGAAAAAATATGACTAAACGAATCTCCCCCGGAGCACAGAGGGGAAGGTCACTCATTAAAAGCCACGTTTCTGTCAGCCAAACGTGGTTAAAGTGACCCAACGTGGTGCAGTGAAGTTGCAACAGGAGTACAGCTTGACCTCTGACAGATGATTCCTTATTGAGCAAAGGGGAGCGACGGGGCAGCTGGACAAGCCCCATGAGGAAAGCAGCAGACAGACCGGGGGTGATCGTCCACAAGCCGAGCGCCGTGAATGTTTGCATGGTGACACGTTGACGCAACGTCTCCTTCCTCCCGATCCCTTTTCATTTGACATGGCACAGTGACTGTACATTTAAAGTTCAGACTGTCAGCTTTAATTTCAACTGAGAAACTGAGTTTATTTACTGCGGGGACAGTAAAATTACTCACACTTATGCATGACAGAAATTAACTTCGAAACATTGTGCAAAAGGGAAACGATGAGTGTGCAGCACTCTGTGAACGACTACAGGCATCTTCCCACTTCTGGGAGTTCCTTTGGATCCCGATTATACACTCAGAAACACTAAAGGGACCAAAGGAAGAAAGAAGGAAAAAAAAATAATCGAAGGCCATGTCCGAAAATTGCTTCAACTCCTCAGTCATTCAACCACGGCAGCTGTAAAAGCCTCCATTCATTTTATAATCTTTGTCATTTCAACATCCAGAGTGCTGCGAGCGCCGAGCCAAAACTGTTAATGCACGGCTGCGCAGATAGGACTAATTGAGCTCGGTCTTCATTCATATGCACATTCCACTGTTCGAGCAGAATTCCCTCTTCAGCTCACTCCCAACCTGGCTGCGGTTTCTAAAAACGGCAGAAAAGCTTAGCGCCTGTGACAGCAGACGTCACGCCGGAGGAGAGCAACTTTGATGAAACCCGTGCTTTTAGAGGCCTCCTTTGTGAGCGGGGAGCGATTCACGCTTTACAAGATAAATCATCCCACCGGCAGCCGGCTTAGACTGTGTACACGCAGATAAGGTTGCCAAGGAAACCCTCATGGAGAACCTTGTTTTTTTATTTCTTTCCCCCCACCCTCCTCTCTATCAGTGCAAACAATTAATACCCTTTCCAGGCAGAGAGGAGAGAGACAGAAGTAGGAGGCAGACATAAATCCCCAGGTGCTTAGCACAAGAGCACCACTCTGTCCCTTCCGCTGGCAGGATGAGGACGAGGTAAAAAAAAAAGAAGTCACAAATGGATATTGGGCAGAAGGACACAGAGGGATGATGTATGACTCACTGTACATTAACTCGATGAGGGAACAGCATTTTAGTCCATAAATGTAATGTGCACGCATGCAGGGAAACATGCCACTAATGTCTTTTTAATGAATGTAACGAATGTGTAATCATTAAAATACTATCTACTGGTGTATTGTTTCCCACTGACAAACGTATGCAGACGAAAAGAAAACAGCAGGATTTCACACAATTTAAAGTTTTTTTATTTGTTTTTAAATGCACTGAATAAAAACAACAACTAGTTATTCAGCTCTGTTTGTGTAACATCAGAAGAAATGAGACCTGTCAAGCATTTTAGTTAGTTTTGAATATGTACAACCGGTTAAATGTCATATGTAACAGTAGCATTGCACACAGGCAGAACTCCAGCTACGTTAAAATTAACCACTGCTGTTGACTGGAATAACGCCACCGCATGCGAGGTGTGGCTAACTGGTAGGATGCGGCTCCTTTTAAATCTGTCATTTTGGGGCTGAGGTAGCTGATGGTGCAGAAGCCCTGCAGGAAAAATTATTGGGATTTTTATGAAATTATTGTAATCGTACAGCTGCAGCATATCAGGAAATTGTGTTAAAATTCCTGTGACAGCATCGTTCTTTTCTCTTTGTCATTATGTCCCCGCCAATCTGCGAGTTTTTGTATCTGAGAAACCACTAGTATCCATCAGGTGACGGCATGAATAAGTGCTTTTACAGCCCATCCTCCAACTTGGTAAACATGATGTCAATATGTGGAGAGTGAATGCGTGATGTCTGAATTATAGCAACCTACCCTACCACATTTTATATCTCAGCAACCTTCCAATTGTATCGCTCACACTATACATGGCCCGCACCCTGCCTAGCAACATGCCATGAGGATTGATTGTTCTGATCAATTATGGCAGCTCTAATCTTGGTGAAACAAATAGTTCTGGAACAACTAAATCAAGAGTAAAGGATTAGCTAAAGACACACTCATTTGAAGAAGTGGTGCCCCCAGAAAATTTAACAACCACACATCAAAAAAAAAAATAAAAATAAAAAAAAATAAAAAAATTATATATATATATATATATATGTGTGTGTGTGTGTGTGTGTGTGTGTGCATGTGTGTGGAGTTATTAGGTTTTATATTTATGTATTGACTGAAAAAGATGACTGTACAGTTTGTGTGACCTTAATTTATTACTGAGTGGCAGCTTATCTGGAGGGCCCATGGCCCCCCTTGACCACCCTTTGGGGTTGCCCCTGATTTGAAAAAGTAACTTGATTAAAAGATCTAATCTGTATTTGACACTGATGAGTTTCCTTATCTGAGGTCACTGTCTGGAGTGGAAGCCAATTTTGGTAGGGTTAATTTCTATCTTGATTAAATATTTCACAACAGAATAGCAAACAGAAGAAGTGGTGATGACATGTTTTTTTTTTTAATTAAATTAAAATCTGTTTAAAGTTTGTTCACATCCATTAGTGGGATCTCAGGCCAGGACCACAGATGAGCCGACCTGCTATGGAGCCAGCAGAGACTTCGACCAGTCACAGATCAATGCTCCAGGGCCCTATCCATTACTGACATCCAATTATAGCAATGGACGTCCGCTTAGCACTGCTACTAAGTGCTTTAGTCTTTTTATTGACTAGCTGTCAACGGGCTACACATAGTGGAGCCACCGGCTAATAATCAGGCATTGATGTATCCTCCATGTCAACATCAACAGTGAGAGGTGAGAGGCGGTTGCCAGGGGAAAAAAACGAGCCCACCACACTGCTAAGGTGCAGCGCGTCCCCTCAGCCGTCAACCAGGAGCTACGTTTCCCCATCACTCTGCTCAGTTAATTAGGAAGCTCATTTTGTACAACTTTGATTAGTGCTGAACCGTAATAAAAGTAATTACCTAGCACATTAACCAAGGAAGGAAAGGAAATTAGCTTAGACTGTAAAAAATAAAAAAAATTCAAAAAAAAAAGTTAAGCAAATACTGAAACAAATGATCAACTCTGCAGCGATAAAGTAAACGGGTCACAAAGCTATGGGAGTTTACTCTGAGCTGAAACCGAGGCGCTGCAGGTGGCGATGGTGTCTGCCCCCGAGATATTGATTAATTACAATCATTAGGTGGTTAGAAAGTCACCTCGTCTCACCTGGTGGAAGGGCTGGAACCGGCTGGCTAATTAAAACAAATCGAAAAGCTGCAGGAGGCCGCCCTTCCCGCCGGAGCGGAGAATGCTAACAAGCTAACAGCAACTTGTTCTGTCGCGGTGATGACGTAGTCTAAAGCGCACGACCCAAGAACGGAGGCCTCCAGTCCTCGACGTGACCGTCACAGGTTCGAGTCCCGGCCTGTTGACCTCTGCCGCGTCCTCCCTCTCTCACAAACCGCTTTACTTTCAAATAAAGGCCAGTAGAGCATACCTGTCAAGTCTCCCGTTTTGGCCGGGAAACTAAATATTGGCCGTAAATATCGTGTCGCCTTTGCTCTTACGTCAGTTCCGTCATCCTCCCCTCTCTTCCGGTATCCCCCCGCCACGCTCTTACGTTTGTGTCCCGTATTCTCCAGTCCAGAACTTGACAGGTATGCAGTAGAGCCAAAATAATCCTTAAAACAACAACAAAAAACGTAAGGCAACTGGTTCTTCATTTCAATGACTTTTATTATTCAAAAATACAGCACAAAAATACACAGAGAGAAAATATGATTTGAACACAGTGTGCACCTCAATGCAATCTTCATACAGTATTAGTACAGATTTCAAACCTACTGTTAGTATTGTTAGTTTACATTAAGGTTACAAGCATGGAGGAGCAACAGGATGGCCTCTAATGGAGCTCTGTACACTTCACCAGCAGATCTTTACATGGGCCGCATCCTGCCTAGCAACAAGTATTAAATACAGCTGCTCACACACACCAAAAACAATACAAAAAAGAAAAAAAGACAAAAGTTTGTACAGCTCAGCCAAGGTGTTGCTTTTGCTTCTGTTTGGGAATAAGTAATATAAAATTCCATATACTGGCACCAGAACGCACACACAGCCAGGAAACATAGCACAGATGACATACACTGTGCTCTTCTGTAGTCACACACACACTCAAGCACACATATATATTTATAAACTGGATATTTGATGGTTCATTCATTCAGTTTTGTTGGTACTTCAATAAGTAACGTCAATATGGAGTCAGAATCTATTTGTTTTCTAACAGAAAGTACATAAATCTTTGCTGTAATTCATAAAAAAATAGCAACTAAAAACAGAGAATCAAAGCATAAGAAGCTAAAAACAGACAGACTGAGATCTCAATAAAAGACGAGAGCCAATCCAGGTAAGAGCAAAGAGGAATCAGTGTGTGTCGCATAGGCATGGGCTGCTTCCTGCTATTGTCAATGAAAATTATGTCATACTGTTCAAATAATTTATGTTATACCAAGAGGCCAGTGTGAGTGAAATTCCCTCTAAAAACATCAATTGTTTTCTGTTTTGTTGTCCAAATTTTTAACCATTCGTGACTTGGGGTCAGGGGCCGAACAAAATCGTTTTGAGGGCCACACGTTGGACACCGCTGTATTAAAACCATCAGAATATTTATAGTTTAAAATCCTGTGTAACGATCAGGGAACAGTGCTGTTTGTCCCAGCCCATGTCTACAGCAATGATTATAGTCCTCAGAGAGCGACGACCATGAAGAACGCACAAAACACAGTTTGAACATTTCAACCAAGGCAACAAGGCAAGAAAGAATCGGATTGAAAAGAGGAAACCACAGGGAAGAGTGTAAGGCCAAAAAAAAGGATAGAATAAGGCATCAAAGAAGAAAGCAACCAGAAGTTTGCACTTTGTAATGTTTGTCCGAAAAGGTGGAATCCAGATGAGAAGCTAGGCTTTCAGAGAACGGAAGATAGGAGTAGCAAGGACTCGGTTATGTAGGTTAAACTGACTGATTGTGCCCTGAGATTGGAAACGAAGGTCAGCTTTTAATGTAGAGTGAAACAGTATGCCGCATGCCGCTCTGTGGGAAACTCCTTCATCCCGCCGTGATCACCATCCTTCATTAAAATCTCAAATTAATGCTACATCAGCCCTGATCGGTTTCGTATCGACCGCAGGGAGAAGGTTAATCAAGGTTCCGTCTCCTTGTGGCGCAACAACAAATACATGGGATTACACATGCCGCACAGCCAGATAAACCAAGGGTCGCTCCTTTTGTCTTGTTAATTTGGTGTGTATGGATGTAAAAAGGGGTTGCGGTGGGGGTGGCAGGGCTTTATGTAGTCAAACACAATCAAAGCTGATTGCTCAGTGAACCTTGTTGTCCAGCTGTTACCCGTACTCCCCAAAGAGCCTCAGAGGAAGAATGGAGAATGGATTATTTTTTTAAAGTTGGGTCAAGTACCAATCATCCATCCAATCACACTTCATGGAAACCAAAACCACTCCTTCCCCATCGGCCAATCCGGACCCTTTAAAGCCCCCCTACTTAAAGTCAAAGAAACAAGGGTTCATTAGCAAACAGCTGACTTGTAGTCAGTTTGTTCTCAGAGAACTGAAAAACAAAAAACAGCTATATTAAATGATACCCAATCAGAAAAGCCACAACCAATCAAAACTGGACAAGCAAAAGAGAAGGAAGAGTCAGGCTTTGATTTAAAGAAACTAAGTTTCCAGACGTCTGTTTACACACAAACACACACACACACACACAGCTGTACAGGGTGCCAGCTAAGGGGATGGTTGTGTTTTAAACAGTATATCTACAGCAAGAGACATCAATGTAAAAAAAAAAAAAACATGCATTCAGTTATGTACAATAGAATTTGTATATTGACCATTCTTGCTTTTATATATCCACACCGATTCTTTTCCTGGGAGAAAATCCAGGACATTAAATGCATAAGTGTTTTTTTTTTTTTCCTTTTTTGTTGTCATCGTTTTGTATTTGATAAAAAGTTAATGTGCTCTATTTCCAGTACAGCACATCACCAACACAGCAGAGCCATGTCTTCATGGGAGGACCTTCTCGTTTTGTAGATGCTATCGAGTGACACTGCTTCATTTTTTTTGTTTGTTTTTTTTATCACTGGCGTTTTGTCCAGGGTGCCTTCTCTAGACGATGGAGCCGTCCCTGTTCTGGGCCGGGGTCATGACAGGGATGGCCCCCATGCGGGTGAGGTTGGGGCCAGCCATTCTGGCGGCAGTCGGCGGGGGCAGCGGGACCTGACTCGGCGGGCGGTCGTACTCTTCGGTGGAAGGGATCTTGTCATACTGGGACTTCATGGAGTACTGGGACTTCAGCGTGTAGTCGTGCAGGTTGGACGGCGACATGGAGCCCACGGACGAGCGCTGGCTGCCCATCTGGCTGAAGCTGCGCGCGCTCGAAACGCGGCTCTTCGGAGGGGGGACGTCCTCTCTGGGAGGAAGCACAGACAAAACATTCATGGCGTTTGCACCTTGGACAAAATTAATGCTGATGGATGCTTTTTACAAATCATGAATCATGCATGGTGACATTTTTTTTGTAAAAGATACTGCATCTTTAAAGAATTCCACCTGATTTTTTTTTTTAAGGTGAGAAGGTTTTATTTTATTTTTTTTTCTTCAGAGTGCAGGAACCATGCCATAGAGCCTGGAGGAGTCATTTCAAGAGTACAACATGGCTGGACTCAGTAAAAAGGAGACAGATAATTGGACAGGGCGAATCTAACTGATGGAGCCGTGTCTGCACTGCTAAGTCACAAACACTGTGTAACAGCCTGCAGCGGTGGCGCACAGCATCCAAGTACAACTATGCCCTCTCCTCCCTCTGCCACCACATTAACAACTAATAAGCAGCAATAATCCAGTTAAATGCTCAATCAAACAGAGCCTCAGGGGCCACAGCTTGTTTAGTCCGTTAGCGTGGCGCAGCAATGTGTCGGCGAATGTGTGGAAGAGAGACGGGACCAGAGGTCTAATCCTCTTTGTCCTCCACTGTGAGCAGTGTCACATTGCGGCGGTTCAGTCCGCGGCGGAGTGATAGCAGGAGAGCCCACGGGCCGGATGGAGCCGTGGACGAGCCGGAGGAGGAGAGAGCTTGATCTGTGGTGGGTGGTGGGGAGACAGCCACAGGCAGACATGACACAGGATCCACAGAGCAAACAAAGCTTTCAAACTGATTACCATAGCTGTTTATTTGAAGAGAGGTGGAAAAAAAAAATGCTGATGGAGAAAAAGCTTTTTGCACGACTGCTGGAGACCTGCTGGTGGCTTTGAGGCCAAGGAGGAATTCACCTGATATCAGCACAGATTCAACTGGAGTTTACAGTGCTTTAGAAGAAAAGCATACCACTTGAAGTTGTTCATATTTCTTATCTATAAAACACAAAATTCAGTTGCTTTTATGCGACAGACCAACTTAACGTTGTGTATAATTGTGGAGGGAATAAAGTACTTGGTTTTCTATGGGTTTTGCAAATTAAAATCTGAAAAGAGTATCTGGCCTCTTTTGTTATGATGACCCTAAATAAATAAAGTGTCAATTAGCTTCACAAGTCAGCTAATGCCTGGTTCACAGCAACTCACCACACACCAACCAATTTCATCCACCAACATTCAGATGTCTGATGGCGAAATCTCACCAAACCTCTCGAAACCAAACGTGAGGTCAGAGCAAACAAACATGGCCGACTGGGAGGAAGCAATGGTGATGGTTTGATACCAAGTCCACCGAACTTTCTGGTGCGCCATGGAAGTGGTTTTGTCATTTGTGTATTTTTGGATTCCTCTCCGTATTTCCGTCACATTCAACAGGCTACGTAATCATTTGTCTCCACATACGCTGCCACATTGGGTTAAGTCGATCAAACTTGTCGAATATCCCAGATTTTAGACGGGAGCGGTCCTGATGTCCTTGCTAGAGGACCAGATCAGACTTAACACACCACACACACAACAGGAAGATCTCTTAATATTATCTTTAGAGTCATCTCAATAACCAGGAGTACTTAAGGTTGTCAGAAGTGGAAAATCAAGATAAAAATAGGAATAAAAATTGTCCATTGTGAGTTGGGCTCAACTAGCAAAAAGAGTCTAACTGTATTTTATTTAATTTCAGTGGAAACACATTTGTTGTGGGAAGGACTCGGGTTTGTTTGAGATGTTTTCTAAAAACCACATATCCTCTCCCTTCCACAGTTACATGCCGATTTGTGGTGGCCTATCACTTTAAATCCCAGTGGAATACACTAAACTTCACTTTTACAAGGAACTGGGCCGTTCCCCCAGTTCAAATTAAAGCCCATCTGGGAGCCAAACCTCCAGGGCGTTTTGGATACCGTACTTGATCTCGTTGCAGATTTCCTTCTCGTACTTCTTGTTCTTGCGAGCGCGGAAGAAGCAGTAGAGGATGATGGCGAGAAGGAGCAGGATCAGGAGAACGGCTATGATGGATCCTGCGAGGATGCCTCCAGTGTTGTGTGCTGGGCGACACAAGAAGAAGAGTTTTTAAAAAGTCATGTACAAGTAATTTGGTAAAAATTTATAATTTCTTTTTTTTTTTTTTAAGAATGTTTTCCTCTTCAAATTTAAAAATAAAAAACAATACCAATAAATTTTTCGTAAACTGCTTTCCATTAGTGGTATTTACCAAAGCATCAAATTGCAACAAATCATTAAATTTCAATTCATTTTCCTTCCACTCAGAATAACAGCACCACTAGAGGCACGCAATTATTTTTGTACCGACATCGTTTCCTGTACGTGAACTTTGATCTTCTGCTTCTCAAGTGCATTAAGTTTTAAATTAAGGTAAAACTCTCCAAGTACACGCACACCTTTCACCACAGAATTTGTATTTGATTTCCTCGATTTAAAAGAAAGTGCACTTTCTTGTAATTAGAGGGTCAATGCTCTGATAAACCTTTTGCCTTATTAAAAGAGAAGTCCTTCATAAAGAAGCTTAAAACGCTTAAAAAGTCCTTTGTCTTCAGCTTCCGCTGCATTTTGTTATGCTACAAGTAAGATTTATGGTGCAGTGTTGTGAAGTGGAAGAAAAAAAAGCATTAAAGATTTATAGATTTTAAATACAAATGTACTGAAATTCAGAAAAGTGTGGCGTACTTTCCTATTTAAACCCCTTTACTCTGATGTTCCTAAATAAAATCCAAAGCAACTAATACATTCAGAAGAATCTTAATGGGTAGAGTCCTCAGTTTATCTGTATTACATCTGAAAACTATTTAATCCTGTCCCTCTCATTGCTTTATGCTAGTTTATTACAGGAATCTGCAACCTACATAGTACAAAGAGCCATTTTGTCCTCACTCCAGCTAAATAAACTAGAGCCAAAAATGTTTCATGATCTTTTGAATAAAGACTGCTTAAGAAAATATAATTTATGCTTTCATTTGTTAAAAGAATAAGCCATTAGAACTAAGACGGTCTTAAATATAATTGTCCCGGTTATACACTGTAAATTAAAGGTGATCTAAATAATCATACGTCGATGATTCCAAGATGTTTACTCCGTGGACAGATAAGAAAAAGTTTAAAGGGGTGTGAAAACCTTGCTGAGCCACTGTCTGTGGACACAAAGTTAAAGGGGAACCTACGTGGGGTCACATGGAGGTAGAGGACGCACTCCTCTGAGCCAACGCGGTTGCTAGCCACGCAGCGGTAGCTACCAGATGCACTGGTAGAAACGTTCTTCACATTGATGGTTCCTGCCACGGGGTCTGAGTAGGAACCAAAAGCACAACATCCAACCGATTACAGATGAAAACCAAAGCGGAGGGGTGACTGATGGTCGGCTGGTGAGAATGTGAAATACCCATCACAGAAGAAGAAGGCAGCAGCTTGCTGTCACTGGTTTTCTCCCATTTGTACTGCATCGGCTTGGTTCCCTCGGTAGTTGAGCATCTCATCACAATGTCTTTGCCTTCCTCCAGGGTACCTTCGGTAGTACACTTTGGCTTTGATGGCCGCACTGCAAAAAAAGAAGGAAAAACAACAAACACATCCAGATTAGGATGAAGCAAGTCTGTTTCTCAGTTTTCCATGCTGCGTGTGCTCTGCAAAAAACGCCAAATCTTACCAAGCCATCTCTGTGATGTTTCTAGCGCAAATATCTTAGGACTGTTGAAATAAGTCAAAACTAACTTACAAGTAACTTTTCAGCAAGATATGGAAGCATTTTGTAGAGGAATGAAAACACAAAACTCCATTCTTTCATCTGCTTTTAAAAGAGCCCTGCTAAATTATTTCATTACATAAAGTGTTATAATCGTATATTTATCATATGCTATGCTACTAATATTATATTAAGTGTGTGTAACTGCTTTTGTAATAAATGTTTGTTTTTTGTGGACTCCAGGAAGAGTAATGGCTAATGGGGATCCAAATAAGCTAAACTAAACAATCAAAATAAACTAATTCCTTAATACTGATGAAAAAGTATAAGTTCCACCAAGAGATTATTTTACCTATAACATGGGAAAAATGTCTTGTTATAAATGAAAAAAAAAAATTTGCCAGTGGAACAAATTAAGGAATTATTGACCTAAAACCAGCTCCTATATCTTGCTGAAGTTTCTTGTAAGCTCGCTTTGTCTTATTTCAAAAATACTGGGATATTTGGGGTAGACAACCAGAAACGCTTGGTGAGATTTTGTGTTTTTGCAGTGTGCGGTATGTGTATGAGTTCCTCCGGTTTTAAAACTCAACTCCCCCTTCTGGCTCAAACAGCAGTCATCCGCTGAACGAAAGCAGTAATCAGAGAAATTGATACAGCTGCCATCGTTACAGGGAGCCGCCACTCAGGATAATCGCCACGAACGAGTGGCGAGAGAGCTGTGAACGTCTGGGAGTCCAAATGCACGTGAATATGCCGCTCGGCAGAAACGATACGGGACCGCCGCTGTGTGCGCGCGTGAAATCAGTGCAGAAGAATGCGAGCAGTCGGGTCACAGCATAGCCAGGATATGAGATGGGGGAGGTCTAAAGCAAACACGGCTCCAAATTAAAAACAGGCCGGCAGAAGGGGAGGTACGTGGGCCAGCAAAGCAAAGAAAGGGACTCTGATTTTGTTTGGACAGAGTGAATCTGAGGCTAAGGTCTGCGCTCGACAAACACTGACAGAGCAGTGACATCATGGCATCAGGAACAAAAACCCCGTTTAGCAGCGGGGGCTGCTGGGAGGGCAGCCAGGTGCCAGTAGGGAGGGGCCAGCTTAGCAGACATAAGCATAAGGATTAACAGGACGCTGACAGCACTGACTGCTCTTATCAATCTAATAAACACAAGCAAGGGGAAGGACACAGGGCGACAGTTCAAAAATGAGGTGAGCGGCCACGGGCAGATGGCAACGGAGCTACGCGTCTCCTCGCTGCGTGCGGCCGCCGCCGTGTTCCGCCCACGCGTGCGCGAGCGCATCGCGCTGTAAATGTCAGGGAGCTATGACATTTTGAACGCGCCTTTTAAAAGGTGAAAGTCAACCCAACACATCTGCGGGGCCGCGGTGCGTGGCTCCCTATGTCGGGCCGGCCGTCCGAGGAACAGATTTATTTGCTGGGGAGATGAGGTCAAAGAGGAAGGTCGACGGAGTCGGCAGCGGCAAGCGGCGACACGGCTCTGAGGAAATTTATGAGATGCCCACCGAGATAAGAGAGGCATTACTGCTGAGGAGAACATGGTGACAAACGGTGGTGACTGGATAGAAAAATAAAATGTGAGGAACTAATAGGGATTTCAAAGAACTGGGATTTCTTTGTTTTAATAGATAACTTATCAAAGTGTCTGGAAATCACATGTGGTGCACCCCAAGGCCCAATCATTGGACACCTCCCATTTAATATCAACATGCTCCCACTAACTCATGTCACAACAAGAAATATAATTAGTTACCATAGCTACGCAGATGATACGCGACTCTACATTATGATATCACCATTTGACTCTGAACAGATAAATGTGTGAAGGTGCCTTAACTTTTTCCAGCTAAACAGAAACAAAACCGAAGTTACTATCTTTGGACCTAAAGCAGCAAACACCTTCAGTTATTACAGCTAGAAACTGGAGATCAGGCCCAAACTGTGGGTGTGGTGATGAACTCAGACCCGTCCCTTGAGAGCCACATAAAGACAGCTCAGGATATGGCTTGCTTGTGTCTTTTTCAGCAACAAGAATCTCTTTTGTTGTATTGTGCCATGTTTATTAAATGGGTGTGGATTTGAGTTTAGTAAAAGCCACTGAATGTTTTTGGTCCCCTATTACTAAAAAATGGAATAAAACTGAAAACAAAGTGTTTGAGGAGCTGCTGACATGCAGAGCTGCTGGAAGCTCTCCTTCTGTTAACTTCAACGTCCTGCCCCCTTTACCTGACTTACACTGTGTGCACTCTAGTGTGTGTGTGTGTGTGTGTGTGTGTGTGTGTGTGTGTGTGTGTGTGTTAAAGGGATGAACACCAAATGCACTTGATGAATGTTTACCTGTGTATACATGCATGACTACTCTCCTGTCAAGGTAAAAATGCAGAGCAGGCAACATGTCCCCACCTCTGCTTGTCAATGTTTCTTTGACCCTGGGGTCAACAGCTAGCAGCCTGTACGCTGCCATGGCCTCCAGCAATCAGCCATTATTATGCACACACATTTGTGCAGCTCAGCAGCCTCAGGCATAGATGTGCCTTACGTAGTTTAATTTAGTGCTTTTTATTTTAATATGTGTGCTTTTACCTCATTTGAATGTACTTGTACATGCTCTGAACCGTGAAAAGTGGGGGTTTATAATTTTTAAAGTTTACATTAAAGAAGTTAAATATCTATTTTCGTCTCATTTCAGAAAGCGAAACACGTATCATATTGGTTTATTACACACATAGTGGAATATTTCAAATCTGTTTTTCTTGTCGTTTTGCTGAAAAAGTCAGGAATATCAAACCTCATTTTCAACCTTATAACCAGTAAAAGGCCAAGAACATTAAGACAACAGAAGAATCATTAAAACAAAAATATCCATTCACTGGGAATAACAATGTATGCTTATTGTTAACACGAGGCATAAAAAGATTAGTGGTTATAATTGTGTAATCTAGGGTTGAAATCCTGCATCTATGTTTAAAACTCTAATTTTCAAGTAAGAAATGCTCTTTTCTTAAGCCGCCATCTTGTGCTTAGAATAATGAAAACTTCTTGCTGGGCTGATGGCAACACTCTTTAAAGAGCCAAAAACGTAACGTAAATCAGCATCTTAAGGTTAATTCAAACTAGCAACAAGCCATAAAGTTCCCAATGTTTCCATGTTCCTCCTGTTGGGGTTTGCCTTTAAATCTCCATGAGTCATAAAACGCTGTGTTAATGGTTTCTGAGTCAGCTGTAGCCACAATAAATGCTGAGATCACTTGTTGACATTCAGCTCTATCATTACTGACGAGCTCAGTGCCATAACAACGTCTGACGAACCTGTTTGTGTTCTCGGCACTCCCAGTTTTTTTATTTTTTTTTTTATACTATTTTAAGAGGAGCAGGAGCCATTTTCTAAAGCTTGTATTATATTTCGAGCGGAGGAAGTTTTCTTCTACCTGATTATTTCGTAACAGCAGCAGCTCACGTCACAACAGGGATTAGAGTTTCATATGCTGGCTGTTTGTCCCGTATGCAAATGGAGCGCGAGTTTCGGGAGGCGATTCACTTTCGACATCATTTAACTGGTTGACTGATCAGCAAGGCCACAGAGTGCGAGTGTGTGTGAGTGTGTGTTTGCCTAGGGACTAAATCATCTGACTTATACAACTATGATGTGTCATCCAGTTCCGTCTGTGGATGAAAAGCGGAGAGCGTAGTCTTTACTTCCTGTTGGCTGCCCAGTGAAAAACAAAATGACTCTGCATACAGAAAACGATCAGTCATATTACATTATTTGCAATACGACACATTAGAAATACAATAATTTTCAATTAAAGCTTCAGATTTATATATATGCATATATAATAACTGCAAATGTGTTTTGTGTGCTGTGTCTTGAGTTTTGTAAATGCCAGGTAAGAAGTAAGTAAGTAAGAGTTTGTTCTTAGTTCACCTGGTTAAATAAAAGTTAAAAATAATGATAAGTGAATTAAATACAAAACCAACGCATTCTCACTGGTTTGGATTATTCGACAGACAGCTTTGAGACACAGAGAATGAGTGGAGAATTTTTCTTTAATGGTACTTTGACTCTTATTTTGTTCCCAAAACAATTAGCTGGGATGGCTATAAGAGGAGAAAAAAAAGAATCTATGAAAATATCCTGAGAAATTTCAAAAACAATTGTGCAATTTTGGCACACTAAATTTGATCAACTCTCCAAACCTTCTTAGCTTCACTGCTTTTCCGTAAATTTTGGCACAGTAAATTGCCAGAGTTTGCTGGTTTGCTAGATGTTTTGCATAGCAACTGCATGCTTTCAAAGGAACGTTTGCATCACAAAGTGCATTTTCTTAGAGAGATTTTTTTTTTTTTTTTTACATTTGTCACTTTGTGCCATTTTCATTTGCCGTCACTGAGTAATATGAGTGTTGATTTTTAGTTCTCTAAAGTCTGAACCTCATTTTGAAAGCAGAACAATTCAAATAAACCTTGGAAGTCGCTGAGATGAATTAAATTCATTTTGGGCATAACATTTTCGAGGAGATGTCTGAAAAAGACCCCCGAGGTTAAAAGGAAAGGAATTCAACTTATCTGGACGAGCTCTTGCACTTTTGATGGAAAAGTGATTAAATGTCCAGCAGAATCATTTGAGGATCCCACTATACATAAAAACTTGTCTATTCAGTTTTCGTTTTTAAAAAACAGAAACTAGTTTGTTGTGTTATGATTCCACCACATAGAAAGAATGAATGAAATGAGCGTGACATTCCTGGCCATGATGAATGCTTGCGAGGTGTCCGTATTGTTCTCACCCATGACAATCAGCTGCATCTTCTTGCTGGCGATTCCAGGAGCCTTCTTCACTTTGCACTGGTAGGTGCCCGTGTCTGTCGACTTCAGTCCGGTCAAGTTGATGGAGGCGTCGCCGCTCTTCGGGTCGGGTGTGTTGAAGTGGACTCGACCCTTCATGGGCTCGTAATAATCCTCGTACACCCGGTCGCCCGAGTACAGAATAACCTGGACACAGACAAAAAAAAATAAAAAATTAACAGTTAATGGCTGTGTGCTTTCCCATGTTTGACCAAGTTTTCTTTTATTTATTTTACATTTACTGTTATGCTCCTACTTACACTGACTGAACAAATTAAAGTTGTGTTGTTTTAACATGTTTGACCAAGGTTGTGAAGATCTTGGTGTCTTAAAGTGTGAAGGGCTGGTGCAGAGTTGGCAAATAAATTTGAAATTTAGTACAGACATGTCTGTGTTTAAAGAAAGAAAAGTTTCAAATCAATTCAGTACTGTTTTTGTCCTTGTGCAAGGAAGCACAATAACATTTTTAATTTATGCAACAAATTCCTTGCTTGTTACATACAGAGTTTAACCTTAGAGTGCTCCTCAACCCGCCACTCTGTGTCATTATGCTCTTTCTCTGCTCAAGTAAAGTGAAAGTGGAACGAACAAAGCCACCACAGTGGAGAAAAACCAACACCCAGAGTCAACAAAGCACACACACACACACTCACACACACACAAGGCCAGGTGGAGCTAATAAGAATCCTGCTACAGTGATGGCGGAGGAAGAAGACATCATCAAAATAAGGGGAAAGGAGAGCACATAATGAAAAGAGTTCCCATTCCCTTTTCCAGACACCATAATATTCTTGCAAATCTCCATGGAGACGGTGATCAACAAGGTTTTCTGTGCCACTATCGACGGAGCAGCAACACCCCTGAGTGAGGAGCATGAAGAATCAGGATGATGAATCTATGATGGAAGTCTGAAGCAAACAAGGACAGAAACATTCCTCTACGCAAACACACAGCAGTGAGACAGTCGCAAGCAATACTCCGGTAATAACTAGAACTTATACATATATATGTATATGTATATATATATACATATATTATGTGTGTGTGTGTGTGTGTGTGTGTAGAAACTCATTTCCAACAGAATCGGGAACAACAGCGCTGCCTTTGTTTCCTCCAGTTGGCAGCTTCACACAGACAGACAAGCAGCACCTGCTGAATACAGGAACGCTGGCTGATGTTCACTGCACTGAGCTGCTTTCAGCACCATCAAACTAGCCGTGTGTGTGTGTGTGTGTGTGTGTGTGTGTGTGTGTGTGTGTTGTATGACTGAGATAAAGTGGAGAGTTTCCACGAATCTCTCTCCTTCAAAACAACTCCGCGGTGCCTGTGTCCTCTCAGTAAGGAGCTTACTGTATCACTCACTTCTCTTCCTTCTCAACTCTTTCAAACATAATTCAGTTTCTCTAAAGATCAGAATGTAAACACTTAGCAGGCCAGAGTTTATAACCTGCAGCTCAAGAAGGTAGGGTTTGTTTTAAGGATCCAAAGAAAAGAGAACTAAAGTGCCACAAGGCATGCTGGGCAGTGTATATGATACTATAATCCACGGATGATCCAAAATGTCCTTTGCCGACTGAAAGATCAATTTAATCAAGAGACACTTATTAAGCACATCCAATGTCCTGGGAATCCCTTTGCTTAGAAAAAAAGGGGGTTGCAGTGACATGAAACATAAGTTTCAGATCCAACATTCCACACTTATGCACATTCAGGTTTCTGGATTTTATTTTTATTTTTTCTGGCGTTATTAAGAACACAAAATATCAACTTCTTTGAAAAGCTGGAACCTGCTGGATTTGGAAATGTTGTTAGAAAACTCCACACCATTAACACAGTGGCTGATGTTTACAGTTAGCAATGCTAGCTGTGCTAATCATAGTCAAATCCAGTTTTACAGCAGCTTTTCTCTCACGCAGTGTGACATCACCTCCGCTCTCAATATAAATAGTTAATGACTCTCCACAGTAGCTGCGTTTCCGTTAACCTTAAAATTGCACCAATTGAAAATAAGACACAGGTTTTTGTGGAAGGAAGCGGTGTTTGTTTTTTTTGTTTTTTTTTTGGCTGAACTGAAATTGGTGTATTTTTCACATGTCCAACAAGCGGATCTTAGTACCAGTGAAAAAGGTAAAGAAGACAACATGAAGTAGGAGGATGATTGCACAGCTTTTTTTTGTTGTTGTTGCTGTTGTTGACAATTTAGAGCTGGCATCTCATGAGGTTTCAGCATCACAAAGTTCAGAAAAAATTTTGTGTCATTCAAATGTGTTGCGGTCTACGTTTCCACCCTAAATGATAGACGCTGAAAAATGAATAGATCTCACGTAACTGTTCACATCAGTCGCTGTCATGTTTGTTTTTTTCAATGACTTATTGTATAAAGAAACTTATTCACGTGATTTTCTTTGCATTTCTGGTTTAATCAAAAGGCTGCGATGGTGAAACTGTGTTTGTTTTTTTGGACATTAGCAGAATGTTGACGAAGATTTGCACACATTCATAATGGAAACGCATCTTAGAAAAAATATTCTTAAATCCAAGTAATCAAAAACTGGTATCGGAAGATCAAAGATTTACAAAGACCAGCGTTTTTAAATCAGTGCATCTTTCATTAAATAGAGTAGCTTAACTAAATCATTACTTTGCTCTGAATTCTGAAACTGTTAATAGAAAACTGGTTTGGTCCTTGTCTGTGCAAAAATAAATTATTTCTCATCTTTCTTTTCTTAAAGCTATTGCAGAAATTTAGTTTTTAAGTTAGAACTTCCACTAGTGACAACTGCTTACTTGCTACAGCAACACTAGTTTCCAAAGTATCAGGCCAACAGTTCCTGGAACGAGCGTGACTCATTTTGTACACTTCAACCATTAAAGCAGGTAATTCTGTTAAAATTCCACATTGCTCTCAGGGGAGGAAAGCAGATCCCAGTAACTTTATTGGGACAGCAAACCCAGCAGGAATAACAGTTACGTGAGACAAGAGCACAAAAGAAAGGAAATGAAAACGGCCCAAGGTGAGTTGGATGAGGTCTCCCACCAGCTTAGCCCCTTCGTGAGCAAACAGATGGGAGTGCTTACACACGCAGACACCTCCAGCTCCCAAAACTGCACAGCAACCTTGAGAGTCTGGGAAAAAGGAACACGAAACAGGGCAATGAGGAGGCAAGCGAGCCAAGTCAGGGTCAGGACGGCAGAGCGCCGCAGCTCATAACCGGTAGCAACCGACCGCCGGTCAGCACGACCCTTCCCTGTCAACAGACAACACGGCAGAGTGTTATTAGTTCAACCTTGGTTTCATCGGCTGCGCTTTAGGATGACATCACCGTGTGTGATGCGTCAGCGACCAGAGTTAAAGGTGGAGGCGGGGCTTATTTGAGAGGCAAAGCAGAGCACCGCGTTACCTGTGTACTGCAAACACACTCAGGGAGAGCAACGTTTCATTATCTCTCCCCCCCACCGAGGCTCTTCATTTGAATGAGTCAGGCTGCAGGCCTGGAAGTTCACATCTCTGCTTCTGATTAGACTCAAGGTTAACAGATTAACTTCTATGGAAAAAAAAAAACACACACACACACACACACACGGCCCTTGGCATGCGCAAACAATGTCCTTTCCCCCCCTAAACTCCTAAAATCCTTCAACTCTTCCACTATTTCCCACCAGCAAACAAAAAACCGACTACTTTTCAGAAATATGTGTGACTTTTTTTTTTAACAAGTCACCGTTTCAAAAAAATGCTAACATAGTATTCATACAATTTAAATTTATTCCATGGGATATACTTTGTATAGTAGTTTCCTACTGATGTTGACTGTATTTTTGCCTGAAAAGTCACCACATGTTAGATTATGAATCTTTCACCATCTCGATTCGATTCTGATTTTTGAGTTCAAAAATTGATTTTCAATTCACAACAATCATTCATAATGATTGCTGCTTTAATCTACATGTGTAAAAAGGATCCGGTGACTCTACCCTGGTCTGCTGTGTAAGGCAGAATGTCTAATGGGGACGTCGAAGTCTTTTTTCCACATTAATGCCATTTAAATGGAATCTGTGCGTAGATTACTCTCTCCCTGCATTCTCCATTTTGCTTTTATGAAGCAGTCAGGTAGAGAGCGCCGCACATTTATGCAGACAGCTTCCTTTGTGCACAACGACGTAGTCATTTCCATACATGAGGTTTTTAAGTCATTTGGCATCTTTGTAGTCATCTGGCAAAGAATCGGGAAAAAAAATTATACAATTCCTCACTACATCAAATAAATGCATCTGAATGTTCCTCAAATGGGCTGGTTTTTGCCAGACTAGCTGCATTGCAGAGACTGTTGTGAACTGCCCATGTGCAGACATGACTGGGTGAGCGGGTGTGTTGGTCAGCGCTCTGTCATGGCAGTGAGAAAGGAGACAGTGGCTGATTTTCATGCCTTTATGGAGGAAGATAAGATCTGTGGATCAGATTATTTAACTATTGTCAGATCTCCCAAAATTAAGGAAATTGAGCCGATTTATCAGCGCACCCTTACAACTTCACACCTCCCTCATTTTTCCTCAACTTACAAAAAAAAAAGAAGATATATTAGGTAATATGTATATTTCTGGAAACTGCATCAGTCTGCATATCAAACTCAAAAGTAAAATAAATGCTCAAAAATACAATTAGAACAATGATTATGTTACATTATGTGGACCTGGAAACCACGGCAACTTCACTCAAAGTTGCAGTAACGTGAGAGTCTGATAGTGGGCCGTGTGTGGCTGCTGTCGCCATGGTGGGAAGCATTCAGGACAGATCCTCCCTTTAGCGAGTCCGCGGCCAGGCAGTGAGAAAAAAATGCAAATGACTGCTGGTGCCAGAATCCCAGGCATCTCTCACTCCATCCGACAAAAGCCCCACGAATTAGCTCCGGCTCACCAGCCACAAAAAGATACCGATATATGCGACATTGTAGGCAAGCCCACATGTTGTAGCAAACTGCCCTGCTGAGTCCAGCCTGGATTTAATGTGAGCAAAGGTTCATCATGGTTCCTGAGCATCTGGGAGCCTCTGGCTATAAACTTTCGCTCTCCTTTCATTGTCTGACACAGCAGCACATTGGCCTAATTCTGCAGATCCCCATCATATATACTAAAAACAGCCACTTGGAATTAATGTGCCACTAATTGCGAAGAATTTAGTCCGTGCGTGATTATGTGTCGGTTAAAGGCTACTAGAATGTGCGGGACTCTAACAGGTCAAGGAGAACAAATGTGTTCCCCGAGAGATGTCGGAAGTATTTAAATTCTCGGAAACATACGGCGTGTGAAACCAAAGCACATGAAACGATACTTAAAAACAATAAGCCTCAGTATCGTCGAGGACAACAAAAAAAAGGAAGGTAAATCCTAAGTAGAAAGGATCAGTTCAAATCAGAAGCCAGTGAACAGAGGAGGATTTAGGTCTCTTTAGTTAGAGCGGGGCTTGTTGGGTCATGGGACAGAGCGGGCAGCGTTATTAACAGAGGTACCTAATGACGACGTACTGACCCATTTCTGACTAACGAGAATTAAAGAATTTTGGAGGGAAAAACAGTCACTAAGGCCACAGGAGAAAGAGAGAGAAGAAAGAGCTTAGAGAAAAAGAAAACCTCAGTCTAAATGTCCTATAGGTATGTAATGGTTTAAACACAATGAAGAACCTTTAAATAAACTGTGCTCCATTTTATTCAACAAGAAAGAAATGACGGCAGAAATATCAAGAATTCCACCAAAGAAAAATAAAGAGCTCAAAACAAAAAACACGCGGTCACATACCACTTGGTCGTTAATTTGGTTGTCGGAGGCCAACAAACTCCATTCTATGTCCAGAGGTCCAGTGTCTGAGGAGGTCAGGGAGAACTGGCAGTCCAGCTTCACGCTCTGCCCGCTGGCCTTCTCCAGAGGCGCCGTCGGACTCGATGTGATCTCTAAAGCCGAGACCAGGCCTGGACAGAGAGGGATGAAGAGCGTCAGAGTCAGAGCTGTAACATGTCTAGCAATAAACTTAGCAATATTTCACCTAACATGTGAAATACTGGATACTCTCCTCCGCCTGGGATGAGTTTTATCTTATACCACAGTAGGGTTGTAGTGATGGAGGCTGCTTTACTCCATAAAACATTATATATCTCTGTATCATTGCAAACAGATGCCTTGTTGACATCAGCCTGATTTATTAAAGCTACTATAAACACAGTTTATGAGCCCTTCATGGTCATAATCAGTGGATCACTGGTCCACAGCACCGGAAAAAAAAGGACTCGGACCTAACTTTTAGGGTAAGATTTATTCATTACTATTCAGAGTAAAAGAAGGACGTTATTTAACAACGGAGTTGATAGTCCGGTACATTTGGTTCGATCGGGAACCAAAAGTTGCAACGTACTACATTTTCTGCCAGTGAGGTTTGCCAAACAAACCAAACCCTTTGGGAAACCAGTTGTTTTAGTTTGGATTAATTAAGGCTTCCCTTTCATTGTCACTGTAGAAAATGAAAGAATTACAAAGTTTTCCCCCCATTATTAAAGTCTATGCCCCCAAACCTTATCTGATTTGTACAAATGATAAACTGAAGTCAGTCAGCTGATGGATTTATAGGCAGAAGATGAGAGTTCCTCATTTTGATGCATACAAAAACAGATTTGTTTTTTGGAAAGAAGTTGACCTGCTGATAAGGGGAAAATGATCAAGTTCTCATCCCTGGCTGAGTAATAGGTACATCTCTGTAATTATATCCACCAGAATATAATTCAGAAAATAAATAACTACGCAGTAAAAAAAAAAAAAAAAACAGGAATAAACGATGACACAATGAGAAACTGGTTGGTTAAAAATGACAAGAAGCTGCTGATATTCTTCTCCAGATACAGAATGGGTTAAAATATCTCGTTCTATAGGAGATTTCAGCTGTGACAGAAACGCAGCCCATAGAGAATAGGGCTGTCACACGCTGTCATAATGTGTTAAGATCCGTTTGACAACCTCCCACATACTAATAAATAAATAGGGTCGGGGGGGATTTCTTTAAGTACAAACCTATAATAAAACCGTTCTGTTGATATGAAAAGCTCTCTGTGTAATAAAAAAATGAAAAAAAACATGGGATTTTCCTTTGGCTAGATCAGCGTTACATTTAGGTGCCTCCCCACTGATGGAAAGAGTCTACTGTCGTGTGAAAAGACAATCAGGGAAACAGGAAGAGGAAATTTTATATTCCTTTATGGGAATTATATCAGTTGCAGAAGGTCTCAAATGACAATATCATCATTTATCACAATAATTTCTGGGACAGTTTCTTCTTCTTTTATGCTTCTCATAAGCTTTTCATGTTTGCCTATGAAAAGCACGATCATGCTATTCATAGGCAAACAAATGCCACATGCATTACATTACATTACATATAGAGATGCACGATCAGATATTAGTATCTGCATCAGATATTGTACATCGGGTATCGGTTATAATGTCCCCGATCCATAAGGGCAGATCTATTCAGTCCAGTTCTATGCTTCATGCTCTGAGCAACGTAACGCTTTATTGGTTATTTTACATTATATTTAGAATTCCTTGTTGCACTTTAGAAACCATTTGGAAGAAAGTTAGCTGCAGTTTATTTTTACACGTTTGAGACAGTCGATCTATTTTTTTTTCCTGTCAGTTTCTTTATTTTACACTGGCTCTTATACTCCTAATAATACTGACTGAATAAATTTGTGTTTCACCGAGTTTATGAAGTTATTGGTGTATTACAGTGTGCTTTACTGGTATAGAGTTATCAAACAAATTTGTAGTCCAGATCATTTATGTCTGTGTTTTAAAAAAATACATGTTTTAAATTAATTCAGCTTCGTTTTTCTGTACTGGAGTGATACGGGTCGACACCAAACCTCAGTATCGTATTGGAAGTGAATAATGTGGATTAGTGCTCTACTATTTTTTATTTTACCACAGTCCTAGACTGTAAGTCAATCCATCATTCTTGATGAAGAAGCTGAAAGGATAAGGATCATTTTACTGATGAAAATTTGGGCTCACAGGAAACAGAGTAGCAGATTTATCTCTATCTGCTCCATTTCAACTCCAGAACCGTACCCACCCTCTGCGCATCGACACACAACTAAATGAGATGCACAACATGAAGCAATCCCAGTCACATCCACTAAAGCTGAATTTCAGAGCCTGTAAGCGTGTGACACGGTGGTTTCATTTTCCGACTGCCAGAGCTGCAGCTGGTCGTTTGAGCCCACAGATTCTGACAGACGCCCTTGACTGGGGAGTGATCCATCGCCTTCAGCGGGGGCTAGGGAATGGAGGAGTAAAATGGAGAAGAAAAAAACCCAAACAGATATGTGTCTATCAATGTCAAAACGGATATTCGGCTTGTCATCCTCATGAAGGAAAGCTGTGTCAATTCATCACGCGCTATGAGGAGCTGGGGCGTTATTCACAGTTGCTGCAAAGCAGAGAAGATTGTATTGTGAGGGAAGGAGAAGAACGCGTTCGGCTGGAACAGTTGACTATAGTGATTGATTTCTGGCAGGCAATAAAAGGCACAGTCTGATGTATCTGTTAAATCTATGACACCCCCAGGTTCATAAACTATTTGTCTAGGCTGCAGCTCAGCTTCATTCAGAAACTAAAAACTGAAAAAGTCTGCAGCTTTGGAAAATCACACATCAAAAATCACGCTTTGCTAACTTAGAAACTCAAATAACTACATTACCTTGTAAAAGTATCTCTTAGTGTCCCCTAGAATTTTTTTTAATATTAAATCAAATGTGAGCGACAAGCACAAAGTACAATAGAAGATGAAGCAAGCCTTGTAGAATCACTGTCACTGTAATTACTCTCAGGTAATTATCAACAGGTGGACGACTAATAATTAGATGACAATTCTAAAAAAAAAAAAAATTTCTCACAACAAATGCTACTGAAGTTTACTCAAGCATCACTCACAAGTATACGCACGTCAAGAAAATGTAAAAAATACTAAAAAAAAAGAAAAAAAGAACATATTTAATTCCAAGAAAGTTTGTAATCTGCCGTCTTTAAAAACCACCAACAATAACAAAGCAACTACAGAAATCCAAACAAAACCATGACCGTCTTTAATCATCTAACCTACCACTGGGATCTTCTGGTAAAAACAGCAGCCATAATCAAACCTGTTGACATGCAAACAGAAAGTAGTTCAGGGTGTTAATCAGCAACTATCAGCAGCACTTTCTCTGTACCGTGTGAACCCTGCAGTATGTTCCTCAGACTGAGGCATAAACGATAAATGAAGTATGCAGCGGTGTGAGGCTGCAACATGTAATCATTAGTTTATTCAGGGTGAAAGCGATCGCTACTTAGAGTAATGGCACCGGGGCAAAAGTAAACTGGCCTTCTAGCTTTAAGTGAATATAATGGATTGATAAGGAAGGCCATCATCTCAGTCCAAGGAAAACAAGGAAATGAAATGAAAAATGGATTGCTGGCAAACGCAGCCATGCACGCAAAGCAGACACTCATTTATTTCCGTGAGCCTGGTGTCTGTAGTTAAATTAAGAGGCATGCCAGTGTGTGTGTGTGTTTGTGCGTCTTTACTCTGCAGAGCAGGAGCCGGGCGGGCGGTGAGGTTGCAGGGCAGCGGGGGACGAGCCGCGTTGCCTAATTAAAAAGTTTGTTATAATAACTAATCCCATCTGGCTGGGTTTCTGCGAGTCGCCCACTGCCTCCAATCTCCATCCTACCGTGACGCAGCTCACCCAGCGCGATTACTGGGAGATCTGGAGTAAGCTCGAGGAATTCGGGGTCGGGCGGGGGGGGGCGGGTGTCAGCATTGCTCCAGTCTGCGCTCACTCAATCAGTGGCCTCTTCATCCCCTTCCTGCCAGTCCTCCTCCTCTTTAACACAATCGTGATTGTGGAGTGCGAGAGTCCCCTGGCCTCCGACTCTCCGCGGGCCTGCTGATTGTAACCCCGCCGCCCACCCCATCCACCTTTTTGTCGGCATACAATGGGGCGAGAAGCCCGTCTCCTGGCAACCGATCCCTCGGAGAAGGTTGCTGTGGCGCTCGAGGGGCGGCGTGACGCAGGGAGGGAAAGACAGAGGCAGGCGGCGAAGGAGTTGAGAAGCAACAGAGAGAAGTTAAGTAACTGATGAAAAGGCTCTGCAAGCGAACGTTACGTGTGTGACACACACATAGGGTGTGTGTGACGATACCAAATGTTGCTGGACGATAAGTTGCCCCAGAAATTTTTGCCGTAAGTTATAATACTGTCATTTTTAGAAAAACTTTCAACTAATATCAGAATAATAACGGTATATTAGTGCAAGTACACTCTCAAAGACGTAAAAAAAAAAATCTTTCATTTCTAAAAAAAAAAAAAAAAAAAAAAACATTTACCAGTGCAAGTGGCAAACATTTTAAATATCCAAAATAAATTAACAAAACAACCGAAACGGAATATGAAGAGCAAAAATTGAAATGATCGCACTTATTTCAATGTCTGTTGAGACAGGCACACAGTTACTTTTGTTTAAAACAGTTTCTCATTGGTCTGAGTAACATGGTTAGTATTGCACAATATCAGCATCAGTATTTGCTCCAAATGTCCTGTTTTAATGTAGTTGTGGTAATTCTAAACATCCCCCAGTCAGTTTGTTTTTACAGAGCAGGTTTGTTTCCATGCGCGGATCGTAGCTCCAGTTGAGTCGCAGCTGCTTTCCAGAGGTAATGATGAAAACCTACAGATGAGATGAGATGCTGAGATAACTGGCCTGCATTTCTCATCTGTCTTTCAGTACTTGAAAGTAGCTCAGTTTTTCCACTGATGTGTACACGGATTGCAAAGGTCGATTTCATCAGATGCAGATGAAGCCAGGAGTTTACAGACGGCAAATAAAAATACCTTTTCTTCTCTCTCGCTGTCTGAAGTTAAATCAGACCAGGTTTCTCTTGCTTTAGGTCAGTTGGAATTACCAACATTATTTCTATTAGCTAAATGCCACAATAATGA